ATACATTGTTCTTAGTTGCTTAGTCGCATTTGATATACCTGTTGTGCGTGTATATGTCTGTTTATCTGATATTGTTCCTCTTCATTGTTGGCAATTTTTGTGCCCATATTTTATTATAAAATAATCGGATGTTGTAATTTTCATAGTTTGTTGAACCTCCAAATAATTTTGTAAAGTGTCTTATTTTTACTATCTGTTTCTATGCTATTTTCTCGTGTTCTTCTATTGTGCTGTAATTTCTGTTCAATAAATACCATTCTGCAATATATTTCTTTTCAAACATATTTCTGATCTTAGTCCTTATGTCCTCTACTATGGATTTGTTATTTAACTTGTATCTGATTCCTGTTGCTGTGTTGATCATTATATCATTTTCTTCTCTGGTCCAGTTGTGTTTTGTTTTCTTCACTTCCATGTTTATCTATTCAGTGTATGTGTCTCTTCTCCTTTTCTTGTGTATCAGCTCTATTGTCAACTCTTTCTATTTAATGATTTGTTTTATTCTTTCTGCTATTTCATTATATTCTTTTTGCCTTTGGTATATCTGATAGCTTTTATTGCTGTTTTGTTGTCCATAATGATTCTTGTTATATCTTTGTGCTTAATGCACATTAGTGCAACCATTATTGCAATCAGTTCTGCTCTTAGTGCTGTTGATATTTATTTTAGTTTTATGTCTATGCACTTTGTTTCCTCTTGCATGTGTATATTGATAACTTTGATCACTATAGTATGGTTACTGTTTGTGATACCTGCATCTGTATATGCTTCTGTTTCCATTCATATGGCTATCTGTTTTCTGAATTTGCTAATGGTATTTTTGATGCTGAGGTTTGTGAACAGACTTTCTGCTTGGAATTCTTCTGGTAGTGCAATCACTACTTTTGTGTCAAGGTTTTTGTCACTGTTTTCTCTTGTTCTTCTTATTATTTCAATACTTGTTGATAATATTAATGTTTTTAATTTACTTTTTGTATTGTTAGGATCTCTTGTACTTTGTTTTATTCTTGCTACTTGTTTATTTACACAGCTTGTATTCTTTGCATGTATCATACATACATTTCCTCTTTTGTTAGCATGTATATTCTTCATGCAGCCTTCACATGGTTCTATTGGTAATGCCTATGGCTGCTAGGTATAGTATCTGAGTATTGTAGTTAAAGATGGGTCCCTAAATTATTTGTGAGGACATAATTCAAATGTTCCTTACTATTAAAAATTTTCATTTCTATATTAAGGAATAAAAAAAACCACCTACAAAGGTTCTTTATAGTTTTAAGCATCTATACAAATCATTTCTGGAATTATGTCCCTATTGAAGTAAAGAGTTAGGAATTATGTCCTCTAGGGGACGTGGACGTAAAGGGACGTAAATTTTATATGCTAAATACTTTAGGGACCCATCTTTAATTGTAGTATCGTGTTTTCTCTTCCTTAGTTTCCCTATTGTATGCTCTGTTTTACTGTCAACCAGTATCTAGTCCCTGTTTTGATTTTTAAGTTCCTTTGATGTAAACTTATATGTTTTGTGTCATGCTCTGAATGTGTTTGTTCTATTATCAGATGTCTTGAGCATTCTTCTTTGCATATCTGTTGGGTCTATTAATTTTTTTCTTATTTTCTCATAGAATGTTGAAATATAACCTCCCACTTTTATATTGAGTGACTTCATGATGCTGATCCATATGTTTCATTTGGTTATGTCCATGTTAAGAAGTTGTTCTATCCATTTTAGTTTTCGATTTTGAGTTTCTCTCTGTTCCTGTCAAATCAACTCTTTCCATTGTTTCTTCTATAGTTGTCAGCTTGTGTGCGTCTTCATATATGCTTTCCTTTATTGCTTCTATTGTAATTCTGATGTTGTATATTTGACTGTTTCTTAGCATGTCATGTGTGAAGTTTTGATTGTTTCTGAAAAGCTTTGGGCATGTGTCCATTACTGATGTTGATGTCCACACTCTCCATTGGATATTCCTTATGTTGGCTTTGGTAATATATAAGACTATATTATAATAATCTACAAGTGCTTTTGTATCTGCTGCGTGTTTCTGAAGTTGTCTAGTCTATAAGTCAAATATGTTGTATCCTAGATAGCTGTGGAAGAGAGCATTAGGGGCTATTGTTACAAAATCTAGTTTGTGTTTCACCATATGTCTTATTTTTTGGTTTAATTTGTCAACTTCCCTATTTGAGAGTTTTATATTATTGAAATAATACTCCAGTTTCAGGAACAGCATATGATTCAATATATATACCATCTGTTTGTTTATTATTTGCTTCCATCTTAGTTTGTTGAGAATTTGCATCAACCATTCTTTCAATAACTGTTTTTGAAAGCTTTTACCATCTTTTTTTTATATTCTAATCCCCAGGTCCTCACAGGATCATCTGTGTATTTGATTTTTACTCCACTGAGATTAATTGTGAATAGGTTGTTTTGTCTAAACACTATCATGTATGTTTTTTGAGGATTTACTTGGATGTTGATCAGATTGTAAAATGACTTTGCTGTTTTATAATAATCTGCATTTCCTCTCTGTTGTTTGCCATCCATGTTGTGTCATCCATATATGTAGCAACTGATATGTTGGTTCTTTCCACATGTGTATATGGATTGTTTTGTGTTGTCTTCTTTGTGATATATATATAGCCCTTCCTTCTGAATATTCTGGTGATGAGAGGATTATAATAAATTCTCCAAAGGATTGGAAAATCATATCCTCTTGATAAATTCCTCCTAGAACTTTGTAAGGATCTGTGTTTCCAACTGTTGTGATGACTGTGTTCCTTTGGTCATTAAATTTTCACTTATCAGATTGATATAAGTAGTTAGTATCTTAAGTCTCTTTAGTACAGACTTGAGCATATTGATATTGATACTGTCATATACTTTGGACATGTCTTGGAAGACTATCTAGTATTTTTTGTTATAAAGCTTTGCATTCTTAATTATGCTATTAACCATTTTAATTGATTCTCTTATACTTAACTTGGGTAATGCTACCCAGTTGTGTTTTGATAGGATTGGATGGGCTGTTAGAACTCTTGATAGTCTTAATGTTAATATTTTTGTGAATATCTTTTTTATAGATTCTAACAATGTGATTGGTCTGACTTTTGATAGATCATTCTCCCAGTTTGATGTCTTGGGAATTGGATATATGGTGCCATGTTTTTACTCTGTAGATATCCTTTTGATCACTATTACACTGTTGCATATTTTCCTGATTACCTCTGTTGCTTGTGCTCCTAGGTTTTTTAAAGCTTTGTAAGGTATTTGTGATGATCCAGGCACAGACTTGCTGTTTGTATTTCTTATTACTTCTGTAAATTCCTCAGTGTTGATCTCAGCTGTCAGGTTCTTATACTATTCTGTCTGAACATGTCTTATTGGCGCATATTCATGTATCCATTCCTTGGTGATCACGTTGTGCGACCCTGCTTTTGTCCAGTTGGCAAAGTGCTCTCTTACTGTTTGCTTGTTTTTTCTTCATCCAGTATAATTTCTGGTTCCTTTCCTTGTGTAATGATTTTATTAAGTACGATCTGTGTGTGCTTGTTATTCAAAATACTGTTTATAATTCTTTTTTTATCTGTCTCCAACCAGTTCATTTTCATCTTAAGAACTATGCTTATCACCTTCTTCTTGGACTCTGCTAGCAGTGTTTTGCATATGTCCTGCATGGTTTTTCTTGTGTTTTTAACTTCTGCAAGCCATTCGGTCATATGGAAAGATGTTCATTTGTGGGCTGACCAATTTGCTCACTATAGACATTTTTGAATTTCTGGATTCTTTGCAGTATATGCATATTCGTGTTATCTTTGATGAACTTCTTTGCTTCCTGTATAATTAACGATATACCTATCAAGCCAATTGCATTTGTTGCATTAATTGTTACTTCTTTATTTCTGCTGTAGCATTAATACTTTTTAACTTTCCTTATGTGTTTGCTGGTTGCCATGAGAATAATGTCTCTTAATTTGTTCTACTGGGTGTTAATGTCTATTTGTGTATCCTTTCCCCAGGTGTCGGCTGCCATGCCTTCTACTTGTGTAATATGGTTGCGGCCCAGTTGTATCTTGTGTTAGGTAGTCTTCTTCTGTTTGATTGTTTGTTTGTATGTAACTTAGAAAAGGTAATGTATGTTGTAGCAATCTTGTGGTCTGTGTTGTGTATCTGCTTAGGCAGGGAGAAAATGTCTGCAGCTGTTATCATGCTGCTGCCTTTGTTTGTGATTCATATTTGATCTATTCTACTTCTGCTATATGCTGAGTTCTCCCATGTATATTCTTTTCTAAGCAGGTGTACGTTTCTAAATGTATTTATCATTTCTACTGTTATTAGATTGTTAATTAATAAGCTGTTGCTGTGCCATCTGTTTTTCCTGTCTTTCTTGTTAGGTGAGAATCTATCTAGCAAGGATCTGTATACATTATTTAGATCTCTCTCCAAAATGACTTCCCAGTTGTCTTTGTTTGCTTTGTCTAGTCATTTGTTTTTTCAATTTCAAGTTTTGCTCTTTTTTCAGGACTGCATGTGAGTATACACTGATTATTCTAAGGTATTTCTTCCTGGGAAATGCTAGGTCAAAGCAAATTGCCCTCCCTGCAATAGTCTGTTTTCGTATGATTCTTTGCGAGATGTGCATTCTTATACTTATCCTAACTCCTTCCCCTATCTGTTGTGTGCCAGATGTCCAGTATGTTGTGTATAGGTCGTTTTTTCCAGTATTTTTTATTTTGAGCTTTGCTGTTTGTTTCCATAGTAATGACTACATTTCAATTATAGACATGCCATTGCGCAAACCAGATACCTCTTTTACTGTCATTTTTGATCCCTCTTATGTTGATTGTGGCAACTTTGAGTAATAGCGAGTTGGTGTTGTGTTGCGAGTTTATGTTTAATCAATCTGCTTTACTGCTTTGATCTTTCATTTTTTGTGGTCCATTGTTGTGTTTATGCTCTTCTAAGACTTGTTTGCCCATGCTTGATTTGTTACTCATTGTTGAATACTAGTCAAATCAGGGCAGCTGTTTTGATCTGAAAGATTGTTATTGAATAGTTCTGCGAACTGTGCCATCATTTCTTCCATTTTGTTGAGTTTTTCATTGATCTGGTTTTGAGTTGTTTTGATGTCTTCTGTCTCAGTTATTGTTCTGTTGTGGAAATTGTGGAGTCAGAGGTGGATTCCGTGTCTTCCTCCATTTTATACATGTATCTATATACTGCATCTTCCTCTAATATGCTAACTCTTTTCTCTAGTTGACTTATCTGGTGTTGTACTTCAGTTATTGTTTCTTGTATATAGTGGACGAGGGCAAGGAGCATACCATTTGAGGAGCAGTTTATATTGGTCCCTCGAGTTATATCAGCATAACTTCTATTGAATCCATTATTCCTATACTGGTTTCCATTGTTGTAGTGTGTTTCCTCTCGATATGTGGAGAATCTGTCTCTGGAATGTGTCCCATATCTTGTACAAGTGTTGTTCGGAGGTTTAACATTGCAGTTTGCAATCATATGTTGTGTATCCCCACAGTAGTGACAAAGTTTTGCTGTTCTGGCTGCCCATTGTTAGCCCGGGAAAAGTCACATGGTATAGTTACGTACCATGATCAGTGCGGTGCGTACCCTGAAAATTGTAGGATAGCATTAATAATCAACATGAAAAATGTAGTCATCAAGCTTAAATAACTTACCTGATAGTTTATTTTAGCTCCGATGGTCTATTTTTCCCTTAATTGTTTTTCTTAGCCTTTTTGTGAACGATATAAATAGTGATGCCAATGTACAAGCGAAATAATAATAAGATAAAAACGGCAATTAAAAAAAGAAACGATTAGTAAAATTGAGTCGCCAAAAGAGAAATATCGTAATTAACAACTTACCTTTTCAAGTACACACCAATTAAGGAAGGATAATCACCGCTATAGGACGTAGCCTGGGGTTATCAAGAGAAGAGCCGGTGCCGGGAAAGAAGAGAAAAGCTGTTAATAATAAAATCTCGGCTAAAATCAATCTTACACGTCTCGACTTACCTTTCATAACTCCAACTTTGGACCGGGCAAGAGACTGACTCGTTGTTTTCCGGCCCAACACTATGTGAGCTTATGTTCTTTGAAATCGATGTCACTTGCTATTGCTTTGGTAAGGTCCTTCTGGGAGGTGAAATTTAAACTTGCAAACCTTCTGCACATTTTGTTAGTTTGTGATATGTAACACACTTTGGTGCTGACTTGTTGCATGATGTCACTGAGGTCTTGAGCTGTCATCGAGTCTGAAAACTTGATTAGTATAATACTGAATTCCTCTCTTTCTAGTCTTGTTTCTCTTGTATAGTAGTATAGAAGCATTTTCATTGTCGTACCCTCTATTGTTACTGACCAATCATTTATGGCTATGTTATAGTCTGATTGGTAAGTAAAGATTACTACTGCTGACTTGTGTGGTCCTGTTGTTTGCATCTGAATATACTCAATAGAACTGAATTTAGTAGCTCCTGTTGTGATATCTCTCTTGGAAAAGTATTGAGGGATATTACAGATTTTGACTGATTTATGATTGGTTTCATATATGTTGAGTGTTGATGCTAACCTTGGTTTGGAGTTTTTAAACTCTGATATTGGGTCTGTGCATGCTTCCTTGACATCTGTTATAGTTACTGAAGATAATCACGATGTTTGGTTCTCCTATTGACTCTTCTACTTTAACATGTTTGAGGGAGAACCTACTTGCCATTCTCTTCCATATAAATCAGATTTTTTTCTGGTTGTCTTTCCTGGGTACTTGGTCAAGTGTAAGAAATACTTTGCCACTGTGAAGTGTGTTTACATTTTTGTTGTTGCTATTGATATTGTCATTGCTGTTGTTGTTGATGTTGTTAATGCTGTTATTATTGCCCTGAACTGATATATCTGATACCTTTCCTTTCCCTTTCTCAGCGTAGATAAAAGTTCTATTTTTCTTTTCTTTTTTTTTTCCTCTTTTGTTTCATCTGCTCGCTCCGGGTTTGCTATCGGTCTTGTTTCTGGATACTCCTGGTTGTTGGTTTGACTACCCTCAGTATCTGAAAGGTTTCCTTTCATGCTAACGTCAGTCGTATTTGCTTCTAGCACACTCATGGACTTCAGGTGTTTGTGGTTCAGGATATTTATTTCCAGTGTTATGTCTGCTTTTCTGCTGCTGATTGGCATTGGTCTCTTGAAAGTAGTGGTTTTCTTGACAGTTGTTGTTTTCTTAATGATTTTTCCATTGTTCCTTGCAACTAAGTTATCATTGTATTTGGGTGTTGTGTCTCTAAGAGAGTTGTGCAGAGTGCACTGGCTAGACATATTGTTTAAAGCTTTCTAATTTTGTAATTTAATAGAGTAAGAAAGAGTGTCCATTAAACTGGCATTTTATTATCAATAATTTATTGCTAATTTTTCAACTATTGTTAAACTATTGTATCAACTTTTGATAAATCAAGTACCTTTTAAATAGATTTAAGCTCAAGAAATATTCTTTCAAATATTAAAATAATACTCAATTTTTGTACCAATTTTGAATATTCATATTTATCCAACTATTTTATCTTTATATTAATGCTTTTTATACTGGATAAAGCAGTTCTTGCTAAACAAAAAGAAAAATAAAAGTATGCTATTGCATATGTTAGTAAAAGCTTAATCAAATCTGAATGAAATTATTTTATGACTGAATAAAAACATTTAGTAGTAATTTGGGCTATTAAATATTTTCATTAATATTTTGAAATCAATTATTTCTATCTTGTAATCAATTACTCTACCCTCCAATGATTAAAACTATTTGAACTTAAAGAAAGAAGAGCCAGATAGATCCTATATTTAGAATTCTACAACTATATTGTTATTACAGAGCAGAAAAACTATAACAATGTTGATATCATGTTATGAATATATGAGAAACAGAAGAACCTATATATATGTTCCAAACAGAGAATAAAAATAATTGAACATTTGAACACAGCTTTGTAACTGCCAACTCTATTGTATCTTACAATTCCAATTACAATGATATATCCTATAAAGTTAAATAGTTCATCACTGTAAGATATTTCTTTGTCTATAAAAAAAAAGCTGAAGACTATTATACTTATACCTTTTGCAACTGGTATAAAAAGTTGTCCAATAAAAACAGATATCCTTTCAAGAATAAATATACAGGCAAAAGAAAATAAAAAGCAGATAGTATCCAATCTGAGTAACCTAATTTATTCAAATTATTTTGAATGAAATTCAATTACAATTATTATCAAAAAGAAGATTTAAATTAGCTACAAGATTATAATTTTCAAAGAATACCAAAAAACAGATTATGAGATAAAGAATTTGAGAAACTGATTCAATTATTAAATAATTATTGGTGGCTTCCAAAACTTGAACAAATTTTAAATAGTATTAGAGAAGAATTTAATAATTATTTTAAAAATTATCTTTGCAACACAGTTTAGTAGATGAATATCAATCCTATTATCTATTATTAATCCACTTCCAAAAAAAAACAATTAAAAAAATCTGATATAAAGCAGAATCTAGTTCAGGTAGTTGATATTCTGGCACCTCAAATCAACAACATAGATATCTAACAATATTAAAAATTAAAAAACTATATTTTAATAACAAATTATCATCAACTCTGAACAAAATCAACAAAATATTTACAATTGCAAAGCAAATTTTTCAAAGTTAAAAACAATCAACTTTACAAAAAAGACAGAAGAAGAAAAACATTAAACTAACTATTTAGAGTTGTTCAAAACCATAAAATTAAAGCTATATTTTATCTAATAAACAATTATCCAACCAGTCTATACTTGGATATTAACAAAACCTTTGAGAAAATTTGTAATCAATACTATTGATCTCAAATGTTCAAAAATGTTAAAGACTATATTTAATCATGTTACCAATACCAAAAATGTGGAAAATACAGAACTCCAGGATTTTTACATTCTATTCCCATTGAAAAACCCCTTTTCAAAATTGGTATTAATATTATAGAACCCTTGTCAATTACTAAACAAGAAAACAAATATATTATTATCACAATAGATTATTTTATTAATGGCCAAAAGCAGAAGCCATCTTTGAAGCTATTGGAAAATGTGTAGCATATTTATCTATCAAGTTATTATTTGTAGATATGAATGGCTAAAACAATCTTATCTGACTAAAAAGCATACTTTTGAAATGAAATAGTAGATGGATTACTCAAACAATTTGAGATAAAATATTTATTATCAACACTTTAACATTCTCAAACCAATAAATTGATTGAATGATTTAATAGAACTTTGTGTGAATCTCTTGTAAAGATATAAAAGAAAAAGAATATTGGAATCTATATATTTTATCAGTACTTTTGCTTATAGAATATTAAAACAATTTTTAAAAAAGATGATATCATTTTATTTACTTTATAGATGAAAATTACAAATGTCTATAACAGATACAAATAAAATATATAATTAACAATTTTTGATTGATTGTATGCTTTATTAGAAGACTTTTTTCAGTAACAAGAACAAACAAAAAGAAATATCTACAAGGACAACAAAAACAGAAACAAAGATTTGATCAAAAAGTAATAAAATATAAAAAATTGAAAATTAAAAATAATATATTAAAGTATAATATTGCTAGAGATAAAAACTTAGCAGGAAAGCTGAAGCCAAAATGGAAAAAATTTTTTATATTTATGCTATTTTGCCAAATAATGTTTTCAAGCTTAAAACAATGAAAAGAAAAGTTCTTGCTACCCCAATTAATCTCTTCCTCATGAAACCATACTTTGATTAATTGATATGGAAACCTAGCATATATATATAAGTATTTTTTAGTTATTGAAAAATTCAGTATCCAGGTTATGTGATATGGATATAGATGCTTTGATAATCCAGTTTTCAACTTGTTTAGAACAAGCATCCTTGGATTTTTGATTATACTTGAAAGAAAGAAAAAGTAAGCAAAGAATATAATATAATATAAACAATTCAAAAAATATTTATATTACATATTATTACTATTCCAGAAAGCAAACTTAACACTTATTGTGTTATTTTTTATGAATCAAAAGAATCATTTAAAAGAAAAAAATAAAATCAAATATAAAAAGAAAACTGTCTCTTAAAACTATTGGAATCAAGAATAATATTTGTTAAAGCAATTCTTATACAGATTCTATTCTCAATTTGAGTTCAACTCTTTCTCTTTTCAACTCTACAGCTTGAAAAAAACTGTTTCTAATTTAAAAAAATTCTCTATCTCTCAAGGTGCTAATAAGACTGTTACAACTCAAAAATATTTCTTGATAAAGGAAGATATATGTTTCTTTTTTTTTTTTTTTTTCCCGGCTAAAGTGAGACTTTACTCTAGTTTATTAATATAGATAATTTTTTACATACAAATTACATATATAAAGTTTAAGCTATATTATTTTATATTAACTAGAATCCACCCACAGGTACTATAGACCATCTGGG